ATGGTATAATAGTTTATTTTATCAAAATAATTGAAAAATATTATTGTTTATAAAAATATAAATTAAATCAAACATTTGAACCTCAATGTTTACTCTTTATATCCATAGGTACATTATTTTAATTTATAGATAAATATTGTACGTATTACGTAACAGTGCAGTTTGTACGGTATACCCAGCGGCGGAACTAGGAAGTGAAAAACGAGGTTTCATCCCCGGGCGTAAAATATTAGAGGATGTAATTTTTGTAATTATTAACATCTAATTTGATATTTTTAACTTTGTTAAATATTGATATTAAGTTGAAACTCAATTAGTATGATTGTATATTAATTATTAGAAAAAAATTCTCAAGAAAAGTATTTGATTATTGGTCTATGGTAGGGCGTAATTTTAACATTTTCCCCAGTCGTAAAAATTCCTAGTTCCACCTCTGGGTGTACCCATGCAGCTGTTTCAATTATGGTAAATACATATTTTAAAATAATATAACAAAAGAACAGCCGATTATAACAGAAAATGATAAAATGGGTACACGTGTAGTGTATACATGTATACTGCAGTATACTCATAACACATATCTATATCCAAGGCTGGGCATTAATGAGTTAAAAATTAAAATCAAGTTTAAACGTTAAGTTAATATTAACTAAGTTGATGATTCGCTACTTTATTTTGGAACTAACTTTTAATTTAATACGTTAATTTTTTAGCATATATAACATGTTAACTTATAATATATATATATATATATATATATATATATTGAAACATTACATTAATAATATAATACTACTTGTATTTATAAAAATACTCCTGTTCAAAATGTTGCACTAATTAACTTTTTAATGATTGAAAAAGTATAGATTTTTTCAACTCTAGTTACCCATATGATGAGTTGATCGGACACTCAGTGCTGTTTTCTAAATTTGAAGATAATTCCGAACTTAAAAAGTATCTAAATGTATATCATCTATAGAAATTCTATTTTTATTACCGATGAAAAACAATTATTTTTAACTTGAATAAGAAATGAACTAAGTTAATTTTTTTATTTATTCATTTTTGACTTAACAAACAAAAATATATATGGTTAACTGTTGACTTTTAACTTGACTTAATTTTTCTTAGATTAACTCAACTTAATGAGTTAAAAAGATAATAACATGCCAATCCTTGTTTATATATTGTATTTAAAACCAACATACTCAGATACATATTCTATTATAGTGGTTCTCAAACTGTACTCCGTAGAGCTCTAGGGCTCCGTGAGATAACTCTAGGAGCTCCGTGGGCATATCTGAATTAATTAAATTTAAATATTATTATATTTCTTAGTTATCGAGGACAAATACTGGTATGATTACTTGAATTGTGTAATGAATTGTACGTTTTAGTGACATCTATTTAATTTACAACTCGGACTTCTGGTAAAATTTGGTTATATTTGGTCAATAACGTAAAATAACCATAGTTTCCACGACGAATGACAAAATTAAATTTTGGAATTATAATATATGGATAATATAATATAATATAATATAATATAATTATATTATATATAATATAATTATAATATATATATATAATATAATTATATATATATATAATTTATGGAATTATAAAATACTGTTAATTATTATTGTCTGTATTAATTGTTTTGTATAAATTCCTGATTTTTGGGACTCCACAATTTTTTTTTTTAGGAAGATAAGGGATCCGCAAACAAAAATGTTTTAAAACCGCTGCTCAATTATCATATTTTAAAGTGCATAATCTACTCGTAATATTATGTTTAAATAACAAATTAATAAAATTCAACTTTTATGAAACGTTTAACTTAATATAATTTACTTTTATCAGTGTTGCGTGCCGTAAGTTTAGCACTACTGAAGTTGAATATGAATGAAAATGTGTTCAAATAGTAACTCGATTTTAAATTATTAACCGATTATTTTAAAATATTCTATGTTCAAAACATTTAAATTCATTAACCGACGTGAAGGTGCTTATTATGCCCGAACACATTATTAAGACACAGTTAAATATTGGTCTGTTCGGGCCTATACGTAGTTTTATGTGAAACTGTGGTTCTCCTTTTTCCTAAGAGCTTAATTGGCCTCGTTTTAAGTACCAAATTATTTATTACACCACTTTGATAAAATGCATGAGTTTTTATATTGATTTCCTGTTGTATGCTTGAGTGGTTAGCCTAGGAACTTCTGCGAATCACATAACTACTTTTATATTTAACGACGATAATTATATCGACTTATAAATATGACTTATATTTGCATATTTGTTTTATCCCCCGATATTTCGGTTATTGCAACCATACTACTGGTGCCAATGTATATTGATTAAATAAAAATTATTCAAATACTTGATGTGATGTGTGGTTCCCTTGTGTCATGATATTCGTTAACATTTATACATGTCCATAATATCAGGATACAACAGCTTCAGCAATATTGTTCATTTAACATATAATTAAGTTAAAGTAGATTTAATAAATTATTAATTATTTTTAATAAGTTTACTGTTTGATATTTTATAGGACATTATGTGTTGTAAAAAGCTTAAAAAAAAACTTGAAAATCATATTAATATAGTATATATACTTTTTTAGCTAAAATAAATAATTAATTTTTATCAATTGAAAACAATCAAACCAAATTCAAAACGTGATACTAGAAAGTTACTAGAAATAGAGCTCATTGATAGATCAATGTACATTCATATCAAATAATTTTATAAAATATTATATCATATTAATATTAAATAATTTAGTTCAAGCTTTATATTTAAAACTTCAAATATGTAGTGAAATTTTTAAATTAAAGAGTAATCCTTATGTACATTTTTAATAGGCAACAGACTTCATTAACCAATTCAATGTATAACGGGTTTTATCTTGGTAAATAGTTACAATAATTTGTAAATAATTGTTACTACATTTAGTTCAGGTCTATGTATATACATTTTAATTATCTTATTATACTACTACATAGTACAATTAATGAATATACTATTCATTAAAAATAGTATACTTTTTTAAAGAAAAGTAAAAACAATATAGTTGTATAGCATATTAAATATACATATAAGATATATATGTATACATTAAATATATTTTTAATTTAAACAACAAATATAACACAGTTAACAAATTTCTATTCTTAACATTACAACAATGTTTTATTATTATTTAAGTTTCAAATAAATATATTTATTTAATATCATGAACATTAACATGATATAGGTCCTATTAAGATACATATTAAAGGAACTTGGTAGTTACACTAACCCAGAATTATTTAAATAAAACTATTAGCAACTGCCAACCTCAAGAAAAATGCTAATCAGGTAAAAAAATTATTAGATACTAATTGATGAGTATTTTGCATGAATTTTATGAATTTGAATTTTTTTTTTTAAAATAGCCAAAAAAAAAAAAAAAAAAAAAAAACTATATAAATATGATTCAATAAATGTTTAACATACAATATTGATATAACCTAATAAAGCACTGAAGCGACAAATTACATAATATATATACCATAGTTACATATAATAGTGCTCTCAAACATAAAAACATAATTATTTAAATTTTTAACTTCATAAATACCTTAATTCATTCATTCAGCCTTATAATAATTAAAATAATACATTTTTTGAATATTTATATAACTATTTATTTAAATAATTTTTTTTTTTGGAATTTTTTTTGTTAAATACTTTCTTATAAAAATATATTTTTTCTTTTTAACACTCATAAACATTTCACCCGAAACAAGAAGTGGTAAACTACTAACATACAGGTATTTTTAATTTAAATATAATATATACCTAAATTACACGAAAATTAAAATTAATTAAATAAATAAATAAATAATATTAGTTATCTAAAAAAAAAATCACAATTGTCTTATTATCATAGTATTACACTTGACATACCAATTTTCTTTAGGATTCTATTCCAATAAAAATAAATAAGGTTAATGATATTGTAAAAAATTAGGTAACTCAAATCTATTATAAACAAGTGCTGTTTGTTTTTGGTTAGAAATATAACAACCTGAAAATACATTATCTCACAAAATTAAAATAAGGTAGAATAATGAAGATTACAAAGTTAATAACAAAGTAAATTATAACATTTAACATAATCCTATATAGGTTACTAAAAAAGTATTCTATAATGAAAAAATTGGACGGTTAAATAATTGGCCATTATAAATAAAAACAAACAAACAATAGTAATATTTTAACATGCTATGACAATATATTCAAATTTTTGGTAGTTTAAATTCCTAAATTTCTATGAAAAAATAAAATAAAAATGAGTTGAAATTAATACTTATTATTATTATTATTATTTTTGTTAGCTTACACATGTATTATTATTATATTCTACACAAATGGTTGTATATAATCTTACAATTTACCTGTGGCCTAAAACAATTCATTAAAACAATCACTTATAATAAGTACAATTTCCGAAAATAAATAATGTTTTTAAAGGGTATAATTTTACTATCACAATATTTAAATACATCACAAAGACAGACGAAATAAAAATTACAAATTTCAACAAATTGTCTATTAAGAGCATTTGTATATCATTTTTAAAGCTATACACATAGATCTGAGTATATTCAGAGACGTTTAAAAATTTTAATTATTAGAAAATAAAAATATTTGAGCTGAAAAGTTTTTAAAATATTGTATTATAAGATCTACAAGGAAATAAAATAACATGTCTATGTATAAATAATTTTAATTTAGATAATCAAATAAAATTTTAGTAAAATAACAATGTAAATCTTTGAGTTCACAATAAAATTAGAATATATTCTAAAAGTTTAAAACAGCTATAGGAAAAAGTGACAAACAATAAAAGTAATAGAAGATGTTTACTACTATTAGGATAAAACTTGAATAATATTAATACAGGAACAATTATTCATAGAATTTTCTTGTATTATAAAAATCTTTTTTTTTTTTTTAGTAAATATTTGTTTTTAAATTTAGCTAGGAGTTTATTTACTACAAATCTTTTACAATAGTGTATTGTTTGCCAAGCTGTATATTCTAACTAGAAACTTTATGTAAATATAAATGATACATATATATTATTCTAACCTCACTATACAAACATATTTAATGTGATATGACATTGTATTTAATAGACTAGAAATTATCAATATGAGTAGCTAAGGTTTGTGTATTAGTAGGAGAAGGATTTGGGAACATATTAATAGGTGGATCAGCATAAGACATAGTAGGTTCTTTGTTGATGACTCCTTTATATTCATCAGAAGATTCATCGTCAGCAGTTGTCTCTCCATCATTTCCTAAAATTTTTAATGCTACCACAAGATCTTGTAGAATTTCAGTTTCACGTAGTTCAATTAATTGGTAACGATGATTAAATACTGACAAGTGAGCAAACACACAATTTAAGTGTGAGTGCAAATTTAGAAGTACTAATTCGCGAAAGTGACTATGATAAAGATGAGCTATAACATGAAATAACAACCTTAAGATCTTTCTTACAACAACCTCAAATCCGACAGGGAATTCATTAGCTGAAATAATGTATATAATTTATGCATTAATATATTTATAATTCTTTAAAAGAAATCATATTTTCACAAATTATTACTAACAAACATACCATATTTAGTTGGAAAAATAGTCTCGTCATTAATAGTTTTTTGAACATATGTCATGACATAGTCAATGTATAAAGGAGCAGCTACTCGAGATTTTTTTCCTTTTTCGTCAAACCACAAATATGATCTAAAAAAATCAAAATATAAACATTATACATTTTCAAATAAAATAATTATTAATAATTAATAATTAAATCAAAACATTCAAATGTACTATTTTTTTTATTTAAAAATTTAAAATTGGTATAATTGCTATTAGAATCATAGAGAATTAAAATGTTTTGAACTTCAAGTTATAAAGATTATCATACTATATTTTATTTTATTTAGAGTAATAAACAATAAAATATTACTCTGTAGACTCTGTATAAGTTAACAAGACATATTACCTTCTTTAATGTTTATAGTTAAAATAAATATTTAAATTTAATTTTATATAAGTTTTAAGCAACACGATTAATTTCACAGAAAAAATGTATTTAATAAATTTATGAGAAACAAATATATATATATATATATATATGTATATACAATTATGTATTTATAGGTAATATGAATGATTTTAATATTTAAATAAAATAATATTAAAATTATTATTATTATATTTCAATATACTACAAATATTAAATCAATAGTATATTATAAATAATTACAGTTTAGAGCAGGAGTCAGGAACCTGTTACACCTTAACATACAATCTATGGCTCTTTGGAAAATGCATCAATATCGAGACCCGTAAAATATAAATTACATTATATGTTACTATAGTGATAATATTTCCTGAATTTCTTAATAATGATATTTATTTCAGGTAAAAATAAAATAAAATTTTATCTTTAATGACTCCCCATAATATTTATTATTAATTTCTATAAATTTTCCACCATATAAAAACATAGCAATATTGTGAACAAAATGTCTATAAACAAAAAGCTTAAAATTGAAGAGGAAATAGAAGTTTAAGAAATGAGTAATACTTATGCATTTGTCCAAAAAACCATAGAACAACCAAAATGTCTCATTTGTGATCAAAACTTTTGACTAAAAAAAAAAAGAAGCTTATCCAAAAGTCTCTCTGGACTCTTATCATTCTTTCCTACGAAGGCTGAATGGAGTGACAAAAGATACTTAGCAAACTATTAGTGTACCTACTGTATTATTTCATTTAAATTTAAATACTTATAAATAATCGACCACTTTTTCTTTATTTGATTAATAATATGTTCAATATGTAATTATTTCAAAAATTCAATAATTTATTGACGAAATAAATAACTTAAAAATCTTATGTTACATAATTAATCTCAATTTATCTATAATTCGTGAAGTACCTGTAATTTGGTCCAACCATATCAGGGCATCCCGAAATAGTACAGAATTCTGATATAGTGCCATATATTAGGTTGGTATTGTCAAATATTGAAATTGCTATAATGAAATAAAAATATTAATCAATTTCAAATAATATTAATCAGGTGATATACTTACTATGTGAAGCAAGCCACTCATTAAAATCTATTCCATTCGGTATTTCAACTAATATCCTAAGATCAATATCTGGTAACTTTTTTTCCAACACAGCTTCTTCTAAATACAATTTGTTATCATCACTACATAATGATTCCTTGTCTTTAGTTTTGCGGCCTTTCCTATTAATAGATATGAAAATGATTAATATATTAGTTAATATATAATATATTAATTATATACAATATTATTTGACTAATGCATATAGAATTTTTATTTTTAAATTATTATTAAGATAACTATTTTTATGACCAATATTTTAAAGCTCATAAAATTATGTTAAATATATAACAATATGAGCAATTTTTCTTAGTATTTAGGCATTCATGTATTTAATATTTCATAATCAATATAGGTTTATAGTTTTGAAAATCAATTTAATTTAATGCTAAGCAATAAACTATGAAGAAATCAATATTGTTACACAATATAAAAATTATAATGAGTTCTAAATTTTGTTAATTTTATTTTTAAATTTACATTTAGTCTACCAAATTTAATTTTTTACTAACACATTTATTTTAAATCTATTTAAATCTATTTAAATATCTTTTTATCATACATTTTAAGTAAAAAAAAGTGTAAGCAAATGTCAGATCATTTTAAAATTAGATTTTAAGAAAATTAAAATAATAATTAATTTCAAACACAATAATAATAACTATATTATCAAAGAAGTCTGTCATAAAAATCAAATAAGAGATAAACAGTCTGCCATAACTCATAATACTTAAATACTAAATAATTAATCTTTTATCAGGTTTTTGTTACCATGACTATTATTTTAGGAATTATAATTACTAAAGGAGAAAACCAAAATAATTAAGTAGAAAATATACCAATAAACATACACATTTTATAAAAAAAAATATAGGTAGTAAATAATTGATACATTTTAATAATGTTTTGTCGATGATATATTAATAATTGCAGTTTGTTTTAATTTCAATCTTTAAACATTGAGCTATTTATATAGTCAATAAATAAACATTATTTATTAATTAAATTATTAGTTATTACCTATAGTATTGTTATTACGAGTTATAAGAAATACATCTAATAATACAATAAATCAACAGTGATTGTGTACACCATGGCTAGGTTTTCATAAATTAATTTATGGTATAGATTATGGTTACATTTTTATTTCAAAGTTAAAATCAACATTAAAAAGTTTCTATGAAAGCCACTATATCTTGATCATTATTGTTATAGTATGTTTTATTACTTTGATGTAAATATTATGACGGCATAATGTAAAGAAAGTTTATTCATCTAATTTGGTACATATATATATATATATATATATATATATTGTACATATAAAGAATGTTAAGAATATAAACATAAAATTACTTATTTATCTAAAAAAATATAAGTATAAAAACTACAGTCATCTAAAAAATTAAATAATTGTTATGATATGGAACTTAAAAGTCAGTAAACTTAGTAACCTACTATAATAATTAATGAGAAAGGGAAATATATTTCTTATAACCATACAATTAAAACTAATTTTAATACAACAAAAAATAACAGGAAATAATTCAAGCTTATAAAAAAAATTACCTTACAAGATTAAGATAACAATTCTTTTTAAATTTACAAATACTAAATTTAATATGTATAATGGGATTATAATAGAAAAACAAATGTATATCTTAGGCATAAAACACAAAAATTGGGTAATTTAAAGTATATTTTAGTTGGTTAACTGTCCTAAAATGATAATTAATATGTACTTTCAATTTTGTGAAACAATGAACAATAAGTTATACATCTAATTTTGTGAATTAAATTAAATATTGTAATTTGAACCAACCATGTAAAAATACAATTTAAAGTAAAAGTAAACTTAATTTTAAATAAGTAAATATTTTGTAATTTTATAAGTAATTAATCAAAAAAAAGTATAATTAGGTATATAACTAAATTATAAGTTTCATATAATTGAAACAGGTATATATCTTATTTTAGTTTTAATATACTGCAAATCTAATTAAAGTATTGTAATTATAACAAATAATTATTAAGCAATAAATCCAATTTTCACTAATATGCTTATTTCAGTTGTATCCAAAGCAAAGTATGATAAAAATAATGAAAATAAATTTAATACAAGATTACATCTGCTAGGTTCCAACATTGTTATAAAATAAAATTTATTTTTATTACATTTGCAGTGAGAAGAATCATCTGTCTCAATCAGATTCTACAAAAATCATGAATAAAAACAATGGAACACCTGCAATTCATTAGTCATCAACTATGCTTATTACCAGAAATATTAGACCATCCGATGGGTAGAACAAACCTAACAGTGACAAGAAAAACCCCAGTCGATCGGTGGGACGAGTTTACTGGGGGAGGGGACTGAGGAAGGTTGAACAGAAGTTAATGATGACATTGATACACTTACCCCATGAACCAGTCCACGGTGTCGCGGAGATACTCGGGTAACTTGTCCAGTTTGTCGGATTGCCTATGCGTCCACCATTCAAGTATTATGTATGGCCGAGGAATCGGGCGGCGGGCGAACGGGTGGAGGATGGGCGAGCGCGATTACCACTGTGTGTTGACAGAGCGTCAGGTGGCCATGTTCTGCGGGGCACGACGCGGACGTAATGTGTTTGTCTATTACGGTGTATTGTTACGACGATGACGGCGGCGGCGACAACGACGACGACGATTGCGTTGCGGCGGCGTACGACCGAAAGCGCATCGCAACCACAATCACACTACAGTAACGGCGGCGGCGAGTTAAACATGGTAATCTCCTGTTTATACTGTTTATCGTTTACACGGGTGTTGTTGCGACCGTTGGGCTTTCGCGTTAACACGTACAACGCGCTGGGAAAAAAAATAAACAAATAATAATAGTAATAATTTTGCTGTCGAACATGAGAGAGAAATTAACAAAAAAAAAAAAAACGTTATCATTCCGCGAGTCTTGGGTATGATAAGAGGGCGTTCATCCGCGATGTGATAATGTGTGACCGACCGATCAACGTTATTCTTTTTCTCTTCTGTGATAACGCTGAGTCACCCGAATCGTTGTCGAAACGTAAATAAAAACGTACGACGTCAGCCATGATGATCTTCTAAATACAGTCCACAAGCATTCGATCGGACCGATCTCTCCGGACTCGACTTCCCGATGGTCAAACCGATCAACGAATCGATCACCGATCACCTCAACGGCGCGGGTGTCAGCTGTTTTCAAGCCACCTCCGTTTCACCTGTGCACGACGTATTTACACGTGTACCGCCACTGTAGGCCGGTGAAAAATCGTCGCTCGAAATTTTATGAATAAACATACACGCATGTACTTAGTATCCAAAATTAAATTTCAAAGTCAGCGATATCAATCAACTGTGTTTCGATATTATTTCATTTTTAGTAATGTAATTGTCAGATCAGGTGAATAATCGGCCGCCGGGAAAATATTCGTAGAACCGCCGAGTGTTGATAATACTATTATACATACATATTTCGTCCAATGTTGAAAATGGATGTTCTTTATGGGATGGACATATTAGATGTAAATTCTAAGCGCCCGAGAGTCAAAACCATAATCAGACTGGAAAATGTATGCAAAAATATGCAGCCTTTCAAAATGTGGCGCTGTATACATATAAATACGCACCGCATCAGTGCATTTTTTAACTAGTTAACTAAGTGACACAAATGTCGCCCAGTGATTATACTCTGTCAACAGTATTTTAAAAAATTGGGAAAAATAATGCGAACAAACGTGTAATACTATAGTTGTACTATGGTATACATTAACTATTTTGAGAAAAACATTTTTTGTCGCCCAGTGAAAATTCTTTATAAAATGCACTGCACCGCAGCACTGTCTAATTATTATTTTAGACCATACGCACGATGTGTTTTAATGGCTTGACAATGACCTCGAATCCCGTAGTCATCACAGGCTTGAATAATGTAAGAGCGACAAAAAATAAAAATAAATAAATAAAAATAATAGGTATGTAAAAATTAAACTAAAACACATTCGTGCAAGACTTCAATATTGTTAATCACGTATTACGGTGTAAATGCATGTCGCGACGTTCATAATTTTATAATTAATCACTAAGTCGATCAGAAGCGTTTTACGAATGAGGCGGAATACTTGATTGATCACCTGTGGGTGATGCAAGGTTGCCATTTAGGGTAGAGTTTTAGTAGTGCGTCTTCGCGGACGATTGCCAGCTTCGAAGGCAGCTGAAATTAAATCTTTTGATTCACTCTTTTTTCCTATGACAAATATACCAACTTGAAATTTAAGAGTACCAAATTGTTCGGTTATTGTACGTATTATTTGGACTTAGGGTGCAGGGCATGCATACCCCCTTGAATAACCTATTTGTATAGTCGATAATTATCAACGAGTTAAGTAATATTGGTATTGTAGAATTTTGTTTTAGCAAGTAGTCGGCAAATTTGTATATTTACAACCCACTCCCTCTCATCAATATTTGCTAGCGCTGGTTCGGCTTGTGTGTACCTGGACCCTATGTGCGTGGTGATGATTGACGATGGGGATAAATAATAACTAAACTAACTCGAAATCAAATTGCTTTTTTTAAATCCGTATGAATATCTAAGGTACTTACACGAGACTTGTCGACAGTAGTGTGGTGAACTTAATTAACTAACGAAGAACAATAATTTATATTGTTGAACCCACCACCCACAACAAAAAAAAAAGAATTAACTTTTCTTGAAGAAAATTTATTTATTGTTTTGTTGGGTGATCTTTCAAGTTGTATTATTACCTTTTCAAAATCAATTTTAAATTCTCTTTCATAGCTCAAAAACACTCCAAACTAGATAAAAAAAACTTTCGACCTTTCTTCACTTTCTAAATCCCTGGAAACCCACCACCGTTTTAAATTGAAACAAATAAAATCCTTCTTGACAAGCTACTCCTTGTCGGGAACTTATAAATTTATTTTCAAAACGTTTTACAAAATAGTTTCTATATAGAGGTGCATTATCATTGGCAATGATAATGTTTCCGACTAAAAATGATTCAGCCCCGAAGCAGAGTATTTAGACAAATTTATATTAATTCAAATTATTTGTATTCATCTCGGTAATCATTGTTAATTTTACGACTACTTTTATGATGTCATTAAAAGCCACATAATTTCCTTAAAAATTAACCGATGTTTGATGCATTACTTGTCTAAACTGCATGTAAAATGTATTGAAAGTTTCAATTTTGTTAAATTCTTTCATCAAGACTCAAAATAGTTACTTTGACGTAATACCATAAATAACGAAAATGTAAGTGGAGTTCAGACAAGACATTGATGACAGTTTTCAATGTTAGGTATTACATTTTAGTTAAACTGTTTTAATCACTGATAAATTTTCAAGTGCAAGCATTTATCATACAAGTAATTTTTTTAATTTTTTTTTAATTTTATGTATTCAAAATGGACTGGAGTAATGAATATGATTGCCAATTAATATGTATGTTGTTTGATGAAAGATGTATTTCATAGGATATTTCTGAAAAATTAATTGGAATTCAATTTTAAAATATATTGTATAAATTGAAATTGAAAACAAATGTAGAATATTTTTGGACAGTTAAGAATTAAAAATGTTTAATCAAAATCAAAATGTGGTTCCTGTAGTAATGATGTGCTCGTGAGTCAAAATGTTTCATCTACAATAACCACTGATGATTATAAAGTATAAAAACTAATATAAAGAAATGTGATATTGATATCAGTTTAAAACGTTAACTATAAATTAATAAAATCTGCCTAATGAACAAGAAATGAATCACAACAACATCAATCTTCTTTATTTTTTCGCTACTACTAACCAATTAACCAATAATAAATATCAGTGATTAATAATTGATAATTTCATAATTATTATGAAAATCTTGACATGTCTCCAGTAACGGATTTAGGGAAGGTGTGTAGGGTGTTAAAGCACCCACCATTCTGTGTATTAAACTTATTTTGAAGTGTTATAAATTAATTGGATATCAAATATCACCATGTATACTCTATAGCAGGGAGGGGAAACTTAAAATTACTAGAGGGCCAATTTTTAAAAAATTCAAATCTAGTGGGCCAGAGCGCAGAAAAAAAAAGGTTATTTAAAATATGAATTTTAATTAGCATTTATATACACGAAAATAATAAATTCAACACACACGACAGGACGACACGAATAATACAAAAAAACTAATTAAGTTAAATAATGCGTTACAAACAGCTATGGTTGAAAGCTATGCTTATACATACATATGACATTTAGATATTTAAAGATGTTTAATACCAGATAACAATTATTATATCGATAAGATAGAGTATAGACGAAAAACTTTAAAACTGTATAATATAATTTGAAAATAAAGCATGGGCCGCCAGTTATCCACCCCTGCTCTATAGCAGGGATATTCAACATGTAGCCTATCAATGACTTTTATGTAGCCCAAACAGAATTCATTAAATTGATACAAAAATATAAATTTCCAAACTAATATTATAAATATATAATGTAAATGTAAATCGTATGCAATTGCCATAAAAATTATTATGACTTTGGTATTTATAATATTTATAAATGTATGGATTTATTTTATCACTTTATCATTAAACTGATCATGGTTCATATGTAGATACACATTATATGAATGGTTAGTTATATTGTAAATTTGCAATTGCATTGGTATAAGTCACTTTTATTTATTTTATTTTAATTGTTAGTTATGTGAAATATAAATTTATAATTTTATATTGAATGTTTTTGTATCATTATGGCAGGCGTATCCTCGAAAAATAAACGGAAAAATACTGAAGAAAATATAATGTTTTAAATTAATTAGGAAGAAGAATATTTTTTTGTACCTAAAAAAAATGGTCCTGCTACTTCTTTAACAATAAAAATCGAATAGTATGGGAAATTAAAAAATGTAGTTCTCTGATTCTACCTCCATTGCGCATATAGAAAATATTACAAAAGATATTTATTACCGTATTATTGAAGACTTGAAAAATTGTAAATTATTTAGCTTAATTTTTGATTCTAGCACTGATATTTCAGCCACATCCCAAAAATAATTGAAAATTTTATTTTCTGCAGAATTATTGATAATTGATATTGATAATTTAAATTTAATTTTTAGATATTATTATGTATATAAATTATAGGTGTATTTGTATTGTTTATAATTTTTAAGTGGTTTATTTATATAGGTACATGTTTTACATCTTATATGTTAATAAAAAATTAATGTGCTAAAAAAGTAACATTAATTTTCTTGCTAAGTATGATGATTATTTATGAAGAGTGGACCAAGGGTTAAAGGAGCTCATATATTTATAGAAAATTAACAAACTATTTGCACATAATTCAACTGATTTTCTTGGACATTTAAACCACAAATTATTAGTTTATTTTCACCCTAAAGTCGTAAATTAAAGATTATTATTAGGAATAACTATTAACATTAATAGCTCCTACCATGAAAGAATACTATGTCCACCATTGCGTGTCTAAAAATGTTTTTAAAATGCCGTCGACCGAATTTAATTTTACGAAATGAAACGTTTATATTATCTATAGAAAAGAAATAGTAAAAAAGGAAAACCTTATAATTCCACTTCGGCTTGACCCAAAAAATATTTGACCGTTGCACTATTGCCAATTGGATTTGACTCTGGCTACTGGTCACTGAGTAATCCACGTAGATAAAGTAAATCATTTATTTTTGGTAGGTAGGGACCAATATGAACCTACGTCATTTCTATAATATGTTCATGTTTACGGATTGACCAGTGCGTTAATTTGCAACTCTGTGACATCAAGTACTATTTTTGCTCTGAAAAATAAGAATAAAAGTTCTCGTTCATTTAATTAATAAAAAAATAACGTTATTTTTACGTGAACATTATGTATCCTATCAATATTTTCGATTTTGACAATTATTAATAACTTTATACTTATTGCTTATTTTAAACTTAGATGATCAGAATATTGTTGATTAATAATAATATCTATAAAATCAATTAGCATTAAATATATTTTTATCAATTCGAATTAAATATGATTATAAGAAAATATTGGCATGTCTGTATTTTATTTTTGAAAGTGATTTGAACAATAGCAAATTATATTTACATTTG